ATTTATTAGAATTCAGTAATCATAAACCACAATTGGCACTTTATTAGAATTTTCTAAGGATTCCAATTTAGTATTCTAAGAAGTTTGCATTACAAAGGCTAATACCAACATAGGCACAAGCTGATAGTTTGAATATCCGCCTGGGAGGAAATTTCCAGCTTCATCAGTGTAGCATTTAGTTGGTTTACAGTTTTCACTTGATGCTAATTTTGCCTTTTAATTACAAAGTAGCTTCAGCTTTACCATTTTGATTTGATTTATGTTATAAACCTGTGTTGTATACTTGAAAAATGCATTTATTGCAAAAGCAAATAATTCTCACAAAATTTGCTTGTATAACAACAAGTGTGGGCCAGGCGAGGTGGTTCACACCTATAATTCCAACACTTTGGGAGGCCAAGGCAGGAGGATCACTTGAAGTCAGGAATTTGACCCCACCCTGGGCAACATAGCAAGGGCCTGTCTCTTAATAATAATAATTAGCTTGGTGTGGTGGTGTGCACCTGTAGTCCCAGCTACTTTGGAGGCTGAGGCAGGAGGATTGCTTGAGCCTAGGTTGAGGCAGCAGTGAGCTATGATTTATGCCACTGCACTCCAGCCTGGGTGACAGCAAGATCCTGTCTCTTAAATAAGTGTGTTGTCACTGAATTTTGTGTTTACGTGGTGGTAGTACTGAATTTTAAAGCATTTTTTTTTCAATATTTTCCATCTATTAATATCTGTATGGTCTGTGGCAGGGTCCCTTTTTATTACCAATATTGGTAATTTGTGTTTTCTTTTTTTTCCTTGATCAGTCTTTCTAAGGGGTTAGAAATTGAATTAATTTTTTAAAGAGCCAATTTTTTATATTGTTTTCTGGTTTTTTGTTTGGTTTTGGGTTTTTGTTTTTTTTTTTCTTTTTTTGAGATGGAGTCTGGCTCTGTTGCCCAGTCTGAAGTGCAGTGGCACGATCTCGGCTTAATGCAACCTCCACCACCCAGGTTCAAGCAATTCTCCTGCCTCAGCCTCCCGAGTAGCTGGGATTACAGGCATGTGCCACCATGCCCAGCTAATTTGTTTTATATTTTTGGTAGAGACGGGGTTTCCCCCTGTTGGCCAGGCTGGTCGCAAACTCCTGACCTCACGTGATCAGCCTGCCGCAGCCTCCCAAAGTGCTAGGATTACAGGCGTGAGCCACCGTGCCGGGTTTGTTGTCTTTTATTGGTTTCTGCTCTTAAGTGTTTCCTGTTACTTATTTAATTTCCTCCTTTCCCCCAGCTTTGTTAACACTTTTCCTCCAATGTAAATGTAAATATTTAAATTTTCCTCAAGCGCTGCTTTAGCTGTAGCCCACTGTGGAGACTAAAGCCAATTTTGAGCATTTTAAACAACTTGTAATATATAAAGGAAGTATCATAAAACTGCTGGGATATTTTATGGGACATTGTTTTATAATGTAAAATCATGTCTATAATCTCACTGCAAATTGTTCATTTTGTTTCACTCCAGTTTTTTTTTTTAATCACTGAGCTCTTTAAAAAAAAAAAAAAAAAAAAAAAAAAAAAGCCTGGCTTCAATCAGTTCTCCCACCTCAGCCTCCCAGACTGCTGGGACTACAGGCATGAGCCACCATGACCAGCCACTGACCTATGTTTGAGAGCCACTACGTAAAACTGCTCCAGTAGCCAACTGAAGAAACGTTAATACAACGACATGACATTTTTTCCACCCCTAGAAACCAGTCTCACTATGTGGCCCAGGCTGACCTCGAACTCCAGGGCTCAAGCACTTTTCCTGCCTAAGCCTCCTGGAGTAGCTGAGACTATAGACTTGCAACATCACGCCCGGCCTAAAATGAGATATCTGGCCAGGCACGGTGGCTCACGCCTGTAATCTCAGCACTTTGGGATGCCGAGGCAGGCGGATCACGAGGGCAGTTCGAGACCAGCCTGGCCAACATAGTGAAACCCCGTATCTACTAAAAATACAAAAATTAGCTAGGTATGGTGGCATGTGCCTGTAGTCCCAGCAGTCTGGGAGGCTGAGGTGGGAGAACTGATTGAGGCCAGGCTTTTTTTTTTTTTTTTAAAAAAGAGCTCAGTGATTAAAAAAAGACTGGAGTGAAACAAAATGAACTTGGGAGGCTGAGGCGGGAGAATCGCTTGAACCCAGGAGGTGGTGGTTGCAGTGAGCTGGGACCACACCATTGTACTCCAGGCTGGGTGACAGAGCAAAACTCCGTCTCAAAAAAAAAATGACAACACGTCTTGTCTACGTTGGTGCAACGTTTTAAAATCATGATATCCAGCCAGGCGCGGTGGCTCACGCCTGTAATCCCAGCACTTTGGGAGGCCAAGGCGGGCAGATCACGAGGTCAGGAGATTGAGACCATCCTGACTAACACCGTGAAACCCTGTCTCTACTTAAAAAAAAAAAAAAAAAGTACAAAAAATTAGCCAGGTGTGGTGGCGGGCGCCTGTAGTCCCAGTTACTCAGGAGGCTGAGAGACAGGAGAATGGCGTAAACCCGGGAGACGGAGCTTGCAGTGAGCCAAGATGGCGCCACTGCACTCCAGCCTTGGCAACAGTGCAAGACTCCGTCTCCAAAAAAAAAAAAATTCACGATATCCAATGTTGGCATTATTGAGAGGAAAACATGATTTGGCAACATGTATTAAGAGGCTTAGACCGGGTGCAGTGGCTCACGCCCGTAATCCCAACACTTTGCTAGGCTGAGGTGGGAGGATTACTTAACCCAGGAGTTCAAGACCAGCCTGAGAAACATGGCGAAACCCGTCTCTACAAAAAATGAGCGGGGCGTAGTGATGCGCGCCTATAGTCCCAGCTACTCGGGAGGCTGAGGCAGGCGGATCCCTTGAGCACAGGAGGCAGAGGCTGCAGTGAGCTGAGATCGTGCCACTGCACTCCTGAGCAACAGATTGAGACCCTGTCTCAAAATAAATAAATAAAAAGGCCTCAAAAGTGTTTATTATCTTATTCCTAGTAATATGACGCTGAGCAGTTTAAACACATAAAGTGCACGAAAGGTTTATGTATGAGGATATTCTTTAAAACAAGGAAATGGTCACTTAAAGTGAAAAAGGCAATTTACAAAGTACATTTTTTTTTCTTTTTTGAGACGGAGTCTTGCTCTGTCGTCCAGGCTGGAGTGCAGTGGTGCAATCTCGGCCTCACTGCAGACTCCACCTCCCAGGTTCAAGCGATTCTCCTACCTCAGCCTCCTGGGAGCTGGGATTACAGGGGTCTGCCACCATGCACGGCTAATTTTTGCCTTTTTAGTAGAGATGGGGTTTCACCATGTTGTCCAGGCGGGTCTCAAACTCCTGAACTCAAGTAATCCACCTCCATCAGCCTCCCCAAATGCTCGGATTACAGGCGTGAGCCACCGCACCCTACCAAATACAATATTTCAAAAGAATTCACGGAGTGGAAACAGGCACATACCAAAGAGGCAGTTGTGGATCCAGTAGCCCTGCCTCCAATTCTCACAATTTACAGATTCAATCTTAATTCCCATTCCCTCATCCCAAGAGAAGTAGAAAAATACCAATATAGCTGGAATAATGTCAGGTGGAAGTAACTCAGAAGCCACTCAAGGGAAAAGGCATGCAGAGGTGCCTAAGGGAGCCAATAGGAATTGATTCCAATTCTGGTTACAGAAAAATCCAAGTCAAAATTACTCTTTGACAATCTAAAGGAATGAGATATTAATTATGTTCCCCTGGGGTTGTGAAAAACAGCCCTGCCTTTTGGAGATTAGAAGTGAAGCAGGTAAGAACCATATCTAAAGCAGGGGAAGAAGCCTCCCTCAGTAGGTGGTTGATAGGGGTTTGAGAATCATCCAAGTTAATCAGGGTGACTATAGATAATCCGAGTGTGTTATATCCTGACAGAAAACAGGGTGGATGTGCCTTGGCAAAAACAAAATAGAGACCAAGTTGCAGGCATGAGTGGACCAGTGCCCATGACTCTCTTCCAGTAGCCTACAGTAGATAGAGTGCTCTGACTTACCCGAGAAGTCCTGCTTGGCTGGAGAAGGGCATCAAGCTATTTATCAGTGCCTCATGCCCTTGACAGTTAAGATCATGAGAGGTTTATTTTAGAGAAAACAAACTTGACAGGGGCGTCTGCCCAAGTTAGGTCAGAGGCACACTCTTACAGACTAAGTAAGTTTTTAAGGATTCGGGGTGGGAGAGTTTATCAGAGGCTTGGATTGCTTCTGCATCTCTTTGTTGCGCTTATCTGGGAGGGAGAGTTGTGTGTCCCCGTACATCTTTCTGCAGCTGCAGGCATACCTACCCCCGAGTCTCATTTTTGTATTTTTAGTAGAGAGGGGGTTTCACATGTTGGCCAGGCTGGTCTCGGGCTCCTGACCTCAGGTGATCCTCCCACCTCGGCCTCCCAAATTGCTGGGATTACAGGCGTGAGCCACCTGCGCCCTGCCTAAACTGTTCGGGTTCTAACATTCCAGCATCTCCCTGCGGAACGCAACCAGGCCTTACTCCGGCCTTCCAAACAGGACTCTTGCAGTTCCTGGGGCTGGTCTGGGGTCGAGTCTCCCTGGGGCCACGTTTTCTAAACGTATCACTTCCAGGATACGTGCCTCCAACAGAAGGAGGGAAGGCTAGGAAACAAAAACGTGGATGCGGGTGAGGAGCTGTCAGGGTTACCGCCACGACAACCTGGACCCTGGGGAACTCGGAGGTGCCACTCAAGAGCCGAAAGCCTGCCCACTCGGGGTGGGGCGGCAACCCGGAGAGCCAGTCAGGAATAAGGGGTCCGATTCTTGAAAATGTAGCCGAATTCTGACTGGGATACTCACTGTGAGAAGGCGGGGCAGAGTTGCAGAAAGTCAACGGAAGTCGGATCTCTGAATTTCTGTTCTGTTCTGTAGCAGCCTCCTAGGCGGGGCCAGGAAAAAAATCCCGGTCTCCCGGCCTCGCCCCGCCTTCCAATAGTCTGCGCTGACTGGGCGGCGAGGGACCGGGGGAGCCAATCAGAAGTCAGGACTCGCGGGTCTTGGAGGAGGGGCGCGGGGGCTGCGGCCTCGGCTGACCCTGCTGTACCTCCTGGCCACAGTGCCGGGCCGAGGGCGCAATACCCGGCTGCTGGAGAGCGGGATCCACCCCAGGACGTCGGGTCGCTGCGGGTGAGCCAAGGAGGGGAAAGCAGAGACGAGCCCCGCGTCCCCGCTGCGGGAGTCGGGGGCGTCCCCGAGGGCAGGGAGTCTCGCTGGGAGTGTGGAGCTGCGAGTCCTACGCCTCAGGCTCCTCCAGTCCGCGCCACCCTCAGCTCGCTGCGTGCGTGATGGGCAAGTCACCCTTCTCCCCGGACCTCACCTGTAACCTAGGAGGGCTGAGCTGGTCCCCCAGAATGAAAGCGTGGCACCCGAGAAGCTGTCGAGAGCAGCCCTCCCAGGTCTGTGTGGGGTCGCTGGCCGAGGACTGTGCCGGCGCCTGGCAGGTGTCTACTGGGAGCAGTCTCTGAGCTCCACTGGACCTCACTGATAACGCTGCGAACCTGACTCGTGCGCCCTCCTCCTCTCTTTTTCTGCCTCTTGGTTCAGCAGCCCCTCCACAGCACCCACCACTCCCCTTCACCCACCAGGAAGACCCTTAAAAGCACCTAGTAGTGTATTGTTGTCTTTGAAAAACTACAGATGCTAGATTCTCCACCTTTCTGTTTCATGATCCCCTTGGGTGTGAACTGCCCCATGGGTCTGTGGAGTGAAGGTCACCCTTGGTTCACCATTTAATATTAAATAAGGAACTAGCCTAGGGGCTGAGAATACAGACATTGACTGGGTATAATCCCTTGGAAGGACGCAGCAAAAAGGAATGTAGGAGAAGAAAGGTAGAGTTGGAAGACATGCTAAGGTTGAATTTACTAGACTTTGTTACACGTTAGGAGTGAGGGACAGGAAAGAATCAATAATGACTCCTGTTTCTTGTCTGGTATACTTTGCACAAAGTACAGAGCTTAAGGTCCAGCCCCCGCTGGCTGTAGGACAAAGGTGGTGAGAGTCTGCGCAGATCCTGGAGTTGGAAATCACACTTGCTTCCTGCGGGCTTTTTCAGGAGCTAAAATACTGTTGGCCGGATATATAGAGCAACAACCTATAGTACCTGAATTCCTCCTCTCCTTTTGAATGAAGTTGGAAAAAAAGTTAATAATTTTTAAAAATGTGTGAGTGGGCAACATAGCAAGACACTGTCTCTAAAAAAATAAAAATAATAAAATAAATTAAAAAGACAGGCATGATGGCTTGCATCTGTAATCCCAGCACTTTGGGAGAGCAGGGTAGGAGGACTGCTTGAGCCCAGAAATTCGAGATCAATCTGGGCAACATAGTGGGGCCCTGTCTTTACAAAAAGTAAAAAAAAAAAAAAAAAAAAGCCAGGCATGGTGGCACCTGCCTACAGTCCCAGCTACTTGGGAAGCTCAGGTGGGAGGATCCCTTGAGCCCAGGAGTTGGAAGCTGCAGTAAGCAGTGATTGCGCCACTACTCCAGACTGGGTGACAGGGTGAGACCTTGTCTCAAAAAAAAGAGAATTCCTCTCCATACATAGGAGACATTTGATTAAGATGGACATGTCTGATAAACGTATTTTTTTCTTTGTTTTTCTTTACTTTCAGGAGTTGATCTGTGCCATTAGTTCTATGATTTGGAGCCCTTGTATAAAGAAAAAAGGCAAACTTAAAAGAACTTTAGCGGCATAGAATACTAGAGCTAGGGCCGGGTGCCGTGGCTCACGCCTATAATCCCAGCACTTTGGGAGGCCGAGTCAGGTGGATCACGAGGTCAGAAGATCAAGACCATCCTGGCTAACACAGTGAAACCCCGTCTCTACTAAAAATACAAAAAATTAGCCAGGTGTGGTGGCGGGCGCCTGTAGTCCCAGGTACTCGGGAGGCTGAGGCAGGAGAATGGCGTGAACCCGGGAGGCAGAGCTTGCAGTGAGCCAAGATCGTACCACTGCACTCCAGCATGGGCAACAGAGCAGGACTCCGTCTCAACAAAAAAAAAAAAAAAAAAAAAAAAAAAAATACTAGAGCTAGAGGAGACTTTTAGTAATAATCTAGTCCAACTCTGTTTTAGAGAACATGACTAGTCCAGAGTTTCAGAGGTTAGGTAGCAGAGCTGGGACTAAAATATGTCCTATTTCTCCCAGCACAACTTTTTATTACATCAGTCGCTTTGGATGGCCAGAGCTAACAACCTTGCTTTATACAGCTATGGAAAACAGGGCTCTCCTAAAAGGAGCTTAACAAGTCAAAGAGTGTATGGGAACATCTGGACTAGAAAGGAGATTGGCCTTCACCAGTTTCCTCTAAGGTTCCTTCCAACTATAGGAACTTATCATTCATTTCTAATTCAGAATTGTTCTGACATCTCTCACACTTCGGGAGTTGAAAATGACTCCAGGAGTTCATCTTGGAGTTAATGCTTCAGTTCATATTACATTTTGAATACTTACCTTATACCAGTTTACCTATCTCCAGAAGGAATGTTAAAATTCCTTGTAAAGTTTTAAGCCTAAATACAGTGTGACAGGATGTGTTGGTTCCCAGAAGTTTCCAGTGCAAAGATTGTTTTGAAACTCCATTTAGGCTTTGTCACAATATTTTCAGTGAACAAAATCTGAATGGCCTAACTTGCTTCTGAAAGCAAATGCCTGGTTAGAAAGTAAACAGGAAACATGATTGTCAAGAATGCATTAACTTGCAGTAACAGGTAATGGAAACCGACCAGTGGCACAAGCTATGCAAGTTAAGAGGCTGGAGCAATCACTTTGGGTAGGAGGATCAGGGAAGGCCATGGAGGGGGGTAGGGGGTGGTTAGCGTTTGAGGTTTACCTTTCCCTTCTTCCTTCCTTCCTTCCTTCCTTCCTTCCTTCCTTCCTTCCTTCCTTCCTTCCTTCCTTCCTTCCTTCCTTCCTTCCTTCCTTCCTTCCTTCCTTCCTTCCTTCCTCTTTTTCTTTTTCTTCTTTCTCTTTCTCTTCTCTCTTTTCTTTTCTTTCTTTTTGACAGAGTTTTGTTCTTTCGCTTAGGCTGGAGTGAAGTGATGCGGTCTCATCTCACTGCAACCTCCACCCCTCTGGGTTCCAGTGATTCTCCTGCCTCAGCCTCCTGAGTAGCTGGGATTATAGGCACCAGCCACCACGCCCAGCTGATTTTTATTTTTATTTTTATTTTTTTTTAATTTTTAGTAGAGATGGGGTTTCATCATGTTGGCCAGGCTGGTCTTGAACTCCAGACCTCAGGTGATCCACCCACCTCAGCCTCCCAAAGTGTGGGATTATAGGCATCAGCCACTGTCTCTACCTACTCTTATTTTAACTTGAGTCATCAGGCTATAGTCCTGGGATTGAGGCAGGGAGGGGGTCATATAGGAGATTTCTGGTGTATCTCCCTGAATGTTATCCCCTTTCCCTCACTGGAGTTAGGTGGGTTTTTGCTGTGACAGAGCCAAGTAAATTAGGCATTAACAGGCATATGGTCTGATTTTTGGAGTTCCAAGAAAGTCCTAAGATCCACCTCCCTTTTCCTAGCCAGTTTCTCAGAAGGGCTCTTTCTTTTTTAAAGGTAAATTTTACATTCAGTGATATTCACAGATCTTACTAGTTTACTTAGGTTTTAAGTTTTGACAAATGTAAGCCATGTAACCAAAGACTAATCAAGATGTAGAACACTTGCCTCTCAGAAAGTTCTCTCATGCCCCTTCCCTGTCAGAAGCAACATATCTTCCACTTTCCAGAAAAGCTAACTGTTCATGAGATTCTTTATTTTTTTTTCAATAGAAAAGGGGGTCTCATTATGTTGCCCTGACTAGTTTCGAACTCCTGGCCTTGAGTGATTCTCCCACCTTGGCCTCCCAAAGTTCTGGCTGGGATTACAGGTAGGAGCCACTGTGCCCAGCCCATATGATTGTTTTTATATAATACTGTATCCCCTGAACAGCAATCGTTATAGTAGGTTTCACCGTGCCCAGCCCCATACTGTTTTAACATAATACTGCATCCCGAACATAAATCAAACACAATCTCAAAACCAGTTTTTACTTACGACAGTAATAATTATTTATAAATTTAGGGTGGAAAGATGACAATGAGCTTGAATATGATTGGGACAATCCCATATGATTGTTTTTATATAATACTGTATCCCCTGAACAGCAATCAAAACATACCCTAAAATGCAGCTCACTCTCACGATGTTATCAATTATTTACAACTTAGTATGAAAGAAGGATTAGAATAAAACTATTTTGGGAAAACAACATGAGATCGTAACAACCTTAAATATTTGGTTCCTGAAGGATGTTCAGAAGCCCTGCATTGTCTTTCATATGTAGCTAGATGCTCAGGAAATATACCAGCTATGAGTAGCAGAGGGTGGAATTACCAAGTAAAAGAAAACAGTCTCCTGCCTCCCCCATGTATCCAAATCATACTTAAAAATTCAAGGCCCAGCGTAGTGCTTATGCCTGTAATCCCAGCACTTTGGGATTACAAAACTGAGGCAGGCAGATCACTTAAGCCCAGAAATTCAAGACCAGCCTGTCCAACATGGTGAAAACCTGTCTCTGTAAAAAATACAAAAAATTAGCCTGATATGGTGGCTTCTGTAGTCCTAGCCACCCAGGAGGCAGAGGTTCATAGGAGGCTGAGGTTCAGGATCACTGAGCTTGGTGGTTGAGGCTGCAGTAAGTTGTAATCACGCTGTTGCACTCTAGCCTGGGTGATAGAGCGAGACCCTGTCTCAAAAAAAAAAAAAAAAATCAATTCAGGCCGGGTCCAGTGGCTCACCCTGTAATCCCAGCACTTTGGGAGGTGTAAGTGGGAGGATCACTTGGGGCCAGGAGTTTGAGACCAACCTGGGTAACAAAGTGAGACCCCCATCTCTATCTTTAAAAGTAAAAGTTCAAATCTATCTTCTCAAGAATGTCTTCCCTTAGGCTGTAGTAATTTCTCTCCCTCTCAGCTTCTATCACAGTTTTGGCAGATATTAATTTTATAGGTCACAAACTTAAATGTAACTTTATTTTTTGCAATTGACCTTAATTTTAATTTTAAGCCGCTATTCCTCTCAGCAGTGGAAAACATATTCTTTACAATTTAAGGTAATCTCAGTCACTTCAGTGTTGATTCAGTCATTTCAGGTTAATACTTATAGTTAATACAGGGTTTTCTTTGGCTCTCTGGCCTTATCTCCTCTAGTGACTCACACAATACTTAGCTCATCAGTCTATGTTTTTCTATTTGAAATATGCATAATAAATTAAATGGTGATCCTTATAATTTAGCAAAACTGTGACTATAAAAGATCACTGTATTTGAATTTATTGTTAAACCTAAGATGGTAGGAATATAGTCAAAAGGACATAGTCACGGATTAGAAGTCTGGAGAGCTGAATTCTCTTTTTTTTTTGAGATGGAGTCTCGCCCTATTGCCCAGGCTGGTGTGTAGTGGTGGGATCTTGGCTCACTGCGGACTTGACCTCCCGCGTTCAAGTGATTCTCCTGCCTCAGCCTCCTGAGTAGTTGGGATTACAGGCGCCCACCACGACGCCCGGCCGATTTTTGTGTTATTAGTAGAGATGGGGTTTCACCATGTTGGCCAGGCTGGTCTCGAACTCCTGAGATCAGGTGATCTGCCTGCCTCTGCCTCCCAAAGTGCAGGGATTATAGCCTTCAGCCACCAGGTCCAGCCCGAGAGCTGAATTCTTACTATGACTTTAATATGTAACTTTGGGCAAGTCACTTAACCTCTCAGAACCAAAATTTCCCCTATAAAATTAATGGGGGAGGAGGAGGGATTGGACGAGATGATACCAAGGTGCTTTCCTGATCTGTGTTTGGGAGGTAAGTTTAAAAATAATTTGTCCTGTAAGAATTTGTTTGCACTTGCCAAAACATCTACTTCTTGATCTTATTCACTGATTTGATATTTTTTAACTTTATGAGTAAAACTTAACAATCAAAAGAAGTACTGAATCAGTAAAAACATTATTGGTCTGTCTTGAGAAAAATCATTTAAATAAATATATTCATCCTATGTCCCCTTTCTGTTTGCTACTTTTTGTTCCCCTAGACATAATGTCAAGTGGAAATGATCAGCAGTCAGAGGCTCTTAGCAAACCCACTTTCAGTGAGGAACAGGCCTCTGCATTAGTGGAGTCAGTGTTTGGGTTGAAAGTTTCCAAGGTCCAGCCACTTCCTAGCTATGATGACCAAAACTTTCATGTCTACGTTTCAAAAACCAAAGATGGCCCAACTGAATATGTCCTCAAAATAAGCAACACCACGGCTAGCAAAAATCCAGACCGGATTGAAGTGCAGAATCACATCATCATGTTTCTGAAAGCAGCTGGATTTCCAACATCCTCTGTGTGTCGCACTAAAGGAGACAACACAGCTTCTCTCGTGTCTGTAGGTAAGAGATGACCAACTTGCTGACCCATTACCTATCCAGACACATCACTGCCTTTTGACCACAAGTAGAACTATGAAGGGCAAGTTCATAATTCCAAGTGTAGATGTGGTTGTTATTTTTTTAGCAACCTCAATAGCACACCCTTAGAGGTGGTTATTTTTTCAGTGTTGGGAGAAGCCACAGCATCGTCAAAGTGGTGATTGGTCCTCTGATTGAGTAGTGGTTAGAGCCCAATGTGGTATAAGTTTTCTGTTTAGAAAGGCCCTGACAGATAGTAACTAAGGGAACTTGTGAAAATCAGGGGAACATTTTTTGTTTGTTTTGTTTGTTTGTTTGTTTTGTTGTTGGTGGTTTTCGGTTTTTATTTTTATTTGTTTGCTGTTTTTTGAGACGGTCTCACTCTATCACCCAGACTGGAGTGCAGTGGCGCAGTCACAGCTCACTGCAGCCTTGACCTCCTGGGCTCAGGTGATCCTCCCGCTTTAGCCTGCTGAGTAGCTGGGACTACAGGCACGCATCACCACGCCCAGCTAATTCTGTAGTGTTTTTGTAGAGGCAGAGTTTTGCCATGTTGCCCAGGCTGGTCTTGAACTCCTGGCCTCAAGTGATCTGCCTCCATTGGCTTCCCAAAGTGCTGGGATTACAGGCATGAGTCACCATGCCCGGCCTGTTTTTTTTTTTTTTTAACCAGAAAAATAATAAAATATTTTTATTACTTAGAGAAGCTATAAATTCTGGTGCTGCAGTATAGTAGAAAGAATATTGGGAATCAGGAATTTTAGATTTTAGCTTTGTCATTACTGTATATGTAACCTTGGACACATAGACCACTTAAATCCCTAAGACCAGCAGTCCTCATCTGTGAGACAGTCCTTTTTACCTCAAAATACTAAAATGCCAACAATGGACCTAATTCAGCTCTTTAAGCAGCAGGCTAAAACCAATTTCTTCAAGTTTTTTTAAAGGTTCGAAATCTTGATTGTCTTTCTCTCTCTTAATTGTTCACCATTCTTTCTTAATTTGCATTGCTACAAATACCTGAGGCCCATTGTTCCCTGAGACACAGTTATTGTCCTGTGTTGCAAACACAGGCTGTCCTGCAGGAAGCCTGATTCTGGAAGTCATTTATTGGTACCTCACTCCCTTCAACTGTGAACTTATGAAAGAGTATGTGTTGTTGCTTTCATTTACCACAGTAGGTAATTTCTGTGTAGAGCTAAGGCCAGCAGAGTTAGGGCTATAATTTTGTTGGTATGTAAATGGCCAGTTCCAGTGTTCTTAAGGTTTGTGTATTCTACCTTCTTGCTTCATCCACTCAACTCTGCCTCATAGAATCCTGCCGAGCTGTTTTAGATTAGCACATTTTTGTTGTTGTTCTGTAATTTCTGTTCTTTTCAATAATACTTGCAAAGGCATAATAGCTTCTAGTTCTATTATATCTAAATATCTATATCTATCTGTCTCTCAATGTATATATTTAAAATAGTCAAAGGATATTTTATTCCATCCATTTAGATAGTGGCTCTGAAATCAAAAGCTACTTGGTGAGGCTGCTGACTTACCTCCCAGGAAGACCCATAGCTGAGATTCCCATCAGCCCCCAGCTATTGTATGAAATTGGAAAGCTAGCTGCCAACTTGGATAAGACACTGCAGGTAAGATATGGGGCTTTATTTTATTCTAAGGGACGTTTGTTTGTTATTTTATTTTTAAAATAAACTAAGAATCAGATTCTCTTTTTATGTATGGTGCACCTAAGGTATGTTATGAAGAGAATGGAGTCCTAGAATGCATACATTTTATGACAGTAAGGCTAACTTCTGCCAAACTCTTACTGGTGTAGTCCGGGTGTGGTGGTCCACGCCTGTAATCCCAGCACTTTGGGAGGCTGAGGCAGAGGGATCTAACTTGAGGCCAGGAGTTTGAGACCAGCCTGGCCAAAATAGTGAAACCTTGCCTCTTCTAAAAAATACAAAAATTTAGGGCATGGTGGCATGTGCTTGTAGTCTCAGCTACTTGGGAGACTGAGGCAGGAGAATTGCTTGAGCCAGGAGGTGGAGGTTGCAGTGAGCCGAGATCACACCACTACTCCAGCCTGGGTGACAGAGCAACACTGTCTCTAAAAAAATTTTTTTTATTTATTTATTTTTTTGAGACAGAGTCTCACTCTGTCACCCAGGCTGGAGTGCAGTGGCCGGATCTCAGCTCACTGCAAGCTCCGCCTCCCGGGTTTACACCATTCTCCTGCCTCAGCCTCCGGAGTAGCTGGGACTACAGGCGCCCGCCACCTCGCCCAGCTAGTTGTTTTGTATTTTTTAGTAGAGACGGGTTTCACTGCGTTAGCCAGGATGGTCTCGATCTCCTGACCTCGTGATCCGCCCGTCTCGGCCTCCCAAAGTGCTGGGATTACAGGCTTGAGCCACTGTGCCCGGCCAATTTTTTAAAATTAAAAAATAAATAAATCTTACTGGTGTATTGGAAAGATTACCTAAATTTTTAGAAATTCATGATATTCTTCATGCTGCTCACTGAAAACAATCAATATTCACAAATGGAAACCTGAAGATTTCATCCAGTCACAGTATAATCAGCTGGAGTTCCGTATGAAGCAATAACTAGGTTGCAAATGGATTAATAGTGTATGTTAAGGATGTTTTTACCCTATAGAAACAATACAATGTATGACAGGTGCCTTTTACACTCACCCATAAAACATCTTCATTTATTCAATATTGACTGAGTACCTTTTATATTTAAAAAATCACAAGACAAAGGAAATATATTTACTATTTATTAAGTAGAAATGGATCATCATAAAGGTCTTCACTGTCATCCTCACTTTGAGTGGGCTGAGGAGAAGGAGGAAGAGATGGGGTTGGTCTTTTTTTTTTTTTGAGACAGGGTCTCACTCTGTCTCCCAGGCTGGAGTGCAATGGTACAGTCACAGCTTAATGCAGCCTCAACTTCCCAGGCTCAAGCAGTCCTCCCATCTCAGCCTCCCAGGTAGCTGGGACTACAGGAGTGTGCCACCACACCCATCTAATTTATTTTTGTATTTTTTGTAGAGATGGGGTTTAGCCATGTTGTCCAGACTGGTCTCAAACTCCTGAGCTCAAGCAATCTTCCCGCCTCTGCCTCCCAAAGTGCTGGGACGACAGGCATGAGCTACCCCACGCCTCGCCAGGGGGTTGGTCTTAGTATTAGGCCATTCTTGTGGTGCTATAAAGAAATACCTGAGACTGGGTAGTTTATACAGAAAAGAGGTTTAGGCCAGGTGTGGTGACTCATGCCTGTAATCCCTTCACTTTGGGAGGCCAAAGCAGGAGGATCACTTGAGGCTAGGAGTTTGGGAGCAGCCTAGGCAACATGGTGAAACCTTGTCTCTACTAAACATACAAAAAATTATCCTGGCGTGGTGGTGCATGCTTGTAGTCCCAGCTACTTGGGAGGCTGAGGTGGGAGGATCACCTGAGTCCAAGAGGTTGAGGCTGCAGTGAGTCGTTATCACACCACTGCACTTCAGCCTGGGTGACAGAGCAAGACCTTGTCTCAGAAAAAAAAAGAAAAAAGAAAAAAGAAAGAAAGAAAGACATTGCTCCACTTCTTGCTTGCATTTTTTCTTTTCTTTTCTTTTTTGAGACAGAGTTTCTGTCTGTCATCCAGGCTGGAGTGCAGTGCTGTGACCTCTGCCTCCCGGCCCATTGCTTGCATTATTTCTCACAGGAAATCTGCCATCAGATTGTTCCTCTTAATGTAATGTGTCTCTTGTAGGTATGTGGCTGCTTTTAAGACTTTCTCTTGAGGCCCGGCGGGGTGGCTCACACCTGTAATCCCAGCACTTTGGGAGGCTGAGGCAGGCAGATCACTTGAGGTCAGAAGTTCAAGACCAGCCTGGCCCACATGGCAAAACCCCGTCTCTACTAAAAATACAAAAATTAGCTGGGCATGGTGGTGCATGCCTATAATCCCAGGTGCTTTGCAGACTGAGGCAGGAGAATTACTTGAACCCAGGAGGTGGAGGTTGCAGTGAGCCAAGATTGTACCACTGTACTCCAATCTGGGTGACAGAGCAAGACTCCATCTTAAAAAAAAAAAAAAAAAAATTCTCTTTATCTCCAGTTTTGAGCGTTTGATTAAGGTGTGACTTTGTATAGTTTTTCTTGAGTTTCTTATGGTTACCTTCCACTGGGATTCCTTGAGTGGATGTAGTGAAATTACTTGGAAGCAGTTTGATCCTTTTGGGTCATGCTTTTACTACTTGATAGATGGGACCAAGGATCAATTTACTAATCAGAATCCTTCAGTGTCCTGTGAACTGTGAGGTTTTCCAGTGTGGACGGTAGGAACAGGCACTCTTCCTGGCCCTGTGCGTGCCAGGTACTCTTTCCTCTAATCCCTTCAGGTAGCTCTTTCCCCAGTTTTGAGTGGTTTCCTCACATTTACACATGGGTCATCCACCAATCTGCTAAATTCTCAAGGCGAACATAATGCAGATCCCTGGAGTGCTCTCTCTCTGCAGCTCTCCCATTCCTGGTCATCTGTCCTGCAAACTCAAACTACCTTGGTCTTCCCGGACTCTCAGCTCTACCTCCTCAACTCAGAGAGTCCTCTGGGCTCCATCTGGGTCTTCCCTCTCTGCACCGCATCCTCTGTCAGGGCAGTGAGCTGGGGCAAACTACCCTTGTGTGTTTTATTTTATTTTATTTTATTTTTGAGACAGGGTCTCACTCTGTCACCCAGACTAGAGTGCAGTGGCACGATCTCAGCTCACCGCAGCCTCCGCCTCCCTGGCCCAAGGGATTCTCCTGCCTCAGCCTCCTGAGTAGCTGCCACCACTGCCCAGCTAATTTTTTGGTATTGTTAGTAGAGACAGGGTTTCACTATGTTGGCCAGGCTGGTCTTGAACTCCTGACCTCAAATGATCCACCTGCCTCGGCTTCCAAAAGTGCTGAGATTATAGGCGTGAGCCACCACACCTGGGACCCTTATTTGTTTTCATTCTCTCAGGGATCACTGTTTTTCATTACCTAATGTCTAATAACTTGAAAAACCAGTGTTTAATGTATTTTGTCCACTGTTTTTGATTTTTCTGGCAGGAGGGTAAACCCCCTCTTGGCCAAAAACTCAAGACTAGGCCGGGCGCAGTAGCTTACGCCTGTAATCCCAGCACTTTGGGAGGCCAAGGCGAGTGGATCACCTGAGGTCAGGAGTTTGAGACCAGCTGGCCAACATGGTGAAACCCCATCTACTAAAAATATAAAAATTAGCCGGGTGTGGTGGTGGGTGCCTGTAATCCCAGCTACTCAGGAGGCTGAGACAGGAGAATCACTTGAACCCAGGAGGCAGAGGCTGCAGTGAGCCGAGATCACACCACTGCACTCTAGCCTGGGCAAGACAGAGCGAGACTCTGTCTTAAAAAAAAAAACTGAAGCCCCTGCAGTGTAAGTAGTATTCATTTATCCTTAGATCATCAAATAGAAATATTGTAACCTTTTTTTCTGATTAAAAATCCTTGTGTGATCCATTATTTAAAGAAAACTAGATAAAAATACAAAGAAAAATTAAGTTACTGGTAATTCCACCATCCAGAGATGACATTCTCTGAACCACTTATTCCATGTGCCATACTATTCCACAGCCCCAGGGGCATACTTGGTGCTTAGCATATGTTTATAAACCCACAGACCTTTTTCTGTACTTACAATAATCACCATTTTATATTGCACTCTATTCATCTATTCAACACATATTTATTGAGCTTCTACAAGGGTTTGGGTGGTAAACATATTAAACATTTCACTTGAAATAGTTTTCAATTAAGTTTGAGCAAATTCATTTGTGGACTTTCGTTAAACTGTTCATTTGTTCATAATAATATAATTTGGATTTAAATAGCCCGTTCTAATTAATTTATTTTTAGGAAATTTTCTTCACATATTAATTTTATTTAGAAAACCTTTGAACTGGGCCGGGCGCGGTGGCTCATGCCTATAATCCCAGCACTTTGGGAGGCCAAGGTGGGTGGATCAGTTGTGGTCAGGAGTTTCAGACCAGCCTGGCCAACATAATGAAACCCCATCTCTACTAAAAATACAAAAATTATCCGGGCGTGGTGGCAGGTACCTGTAGTCCCAGCTACTTGGGAGGCTAAGGTAAAGAGAATCACTTGAACCCAGGAGGTGGGGGTTGCAGTGAGGCGAGATCACACCACTGCACACCAGCCTGGGTGAAAGAGTGAGACAACGTCTCAAAACAAACAAACAAACAAAAAAACCCAAAACAAAAACCTTTGAACTGATTGTAGTGCTCAGTAAAGTCTGTCTACCTTCCTCAGACTTAAACCTACTATTGAGCTGTTTAAATGACTGTCTGCTACATAATAGCTTTCCTTTACCAGTAACCTTTCCTTCTGCCCTATCTGTGGGCTTCATTCATATGCCTATGGCCACTGAACTTTCAACTTTTCCTGCTATATTCTGAAAAAGTAATACGGTTTTAGAGGGAAATAGCACCACATCATTGCTGACAGTGAGTCAGTTCTGCTGTGCATTTAGCCACCTACTGCTCTGCTGTTCAACTTACTTTAAGTTGTCTTACAGAGGACAACGGAGCTCTAGAGGGAACCAAGCCTTCTTCATTTGGCATTACATGAATT